TATTTTTATGTTTTATGGTGTAGTATGAGCTATATTTTTATAAAAAAAAAACTATCGAAAATATATAGCTCTAAGTGAAGGGCAAATGATCTAGTGCAGTCTTCTAACAAAACTTCTAGGTGGGGATCAGTGCAAGTACCTAACGAGCGCTGAAAGAAACCCAAAGGTCTGAAAAGATAAACTGAGAATGTTATTATCAAGCTAGCGGAGGAAAAAATATCAGGCTAAACGAAAAAGAAATGAAAAGTAAGGCAATCAGAATGACAAGAGCGAAAGCACCTCTACTACAGCTGCGACAAAAGGGATCTGGTGTGAAATTTAATTCCACCGCGTGAACCCCGATAGAACAGAGGCCTGTGGGTACACCCACCAGAACCGACAGACCCAGCTTTGAGAGCCTAACTGTATCGACCAAAATGGCCTCGCAGTAGCCCGTACCCTGTTTTTCCGTCATCGTTCGCTGGGCTCTCCTACGTCTCGTCTTTCCCAGAAAAGTCCACATGGTAGTCAGAGTAACTTCCAATCTCTCTTTTCATCAGCCACACAGTTTTCTGTGATGGCCTGTCACATATGCACGTCTGACAAGTAATATTCCAACTCGACCGATAGTGAATTAAGGCGTACGTGAGCCCAGTGCTCTGAGTAGATGTTCACCTCCCTCACAGGAAAACTAAAGCCTCCAGACTCCGAGACCGCCTGGCAACCAGCAAACCTAAGTCTAACAGCCGCCCTTGCTGCAGCTGTTTTACCTGCTAAATATATCAACTTAAGCTTAACGTTGAGGGTCCGATAGGACAGTGGTCTCTCAGTATACCCCCAAGGATAGAGATACCCCGCCTACTGATTTCCCCAGTGCGTTCCGCCAGAATGGGATTAACTATGGTTTCATAGTGTCAGGAAGTAATCTTGGTAGAAAGGCACATTTTACATCCTAATGAATAAAAAGGGTTTCGTTTTACTAGGACACATTTCGCAGACCATCTAGTCACCAGGTTAAAGTACTCTTGAGTTAAGTCGTATAGCGTATCTAAAAATTTGCCCGCCACCACCTACAC